GAGGAGGATCGAACCCCAGCTCTTCCACCTGCCTAAGCAAGCACTTTAATGGGATAGCTGATTTCAAAGCTTTTCCAGGTTTAAAACTGTGACAATGCCTTCTGTCTCCTAGCAGCCTCACCAGAATTTGTTGTGGTTTGATTTCTTTTTTTCTTTTTTCTTTTTTTTTTTTTTTTTTTTTTTTTTCGGACGTGGGGATTGAACTCAGGCCCTTGCACTTGCCAGGTAAAGCTTATTCTACTGAGCCATCTCTCCAGCCCCAATTTACATGGGCTCTCTTTTTTTATTTGTTTTTTATAAAGGAAATACTTTTTTGGGGGGGATACCAGGGATTGAACTCAGGATCTTGCACTTGCTAGGCAGGTGCTTATACTGTTGAGCTATATCCCCAGCCCTTAGAACTCTGCATTTTTTGAGAGTGTCCATAAACTTTTGTTGAATTTCCATTTTGCAAATGGTACTTCACTAAAATTGCTTGCTTTCTAAGAGCATTAATGACTTCTTTTTTGTTAAATCTGTGGAATTTTTCAAGATGCATTTTTTTCCCCTCTCTGCTAACTCTTTCTAAAAGTTCTCTCTTGCCTTGGCTTTGGGATTTCTCCCCTATGTTTTGTGCTTTTCCTTCTCCTTCTCCAGCCATAGCTTCTCAGCTGCCTTCATTGTTTTCTACTTCTCCTCTCATGCATGTTGGATCTTAAGGGGTCTGACTTCAGCCCTTACTCTCCTTACCCTCCCTGGTTTTCCTATCTATCTCCTTGTTTGTCTTTTCATTATCAATGTGAAAACGACTCTCAAACCTCTGGCTTCTGGCTCTGATCTTGCTCCTAATTTCAGGTCCATATATCCAACTGCCTACAGAAATTTTCATGTGAATATGTACAGAACCCTAAATGTAAAATGGTCCAAAACAAGCCATCTCTACCTGACCTGTCTTGGACCCTACTCTCTACTCTCAGTCCAAGTGATGGTATATTTATCTAAAAAAGTTGGGATATATTTTTAAACTTTGACCTGTGTTTCATTCTCCATGTTGAAATAGTCAAGACAATTTTATTTTTCTTATTCCTTACTGTAGCTCAAAATAAATGATCCTATTCTCTTTTTCTACCTCTGCCTAATCATTAAATTTTAAATTTATTTTGGCAACTGGCTATATTTTCCACACTTTGCTCCACAGACCATTAATTCTCTAAGGTGCTGACACATTCCCTCCAGCTTGAACCAGTGGTGGTACATGCGTGACTGCCCCATTGGATGACTTGTGCCACTGGTAGTACAGACCAAACTAATCACTTTTACTAGCCCTTTTACTAATAAAATTAATTAAAAGTTACCCAACAGGGAAGTCATATGTGTACTACCTGTGGTACAAGCCACTCAGCAATGAGACATAGGAATCATGGCCCCATCGTGAACATATTAAAGATCTTCTGCAGAAATATCAGGATTCCATGGCCCAAAGTTGGGAAAAGACCGCATACCACCATTTCTATCTTGTTAATTCACAACATGAAGGACTAAGGAATTTTACAAAGCACTAAGAAATTTTGCAGTGGGCAAACTGTTTGTCTAACCCTAACCCTCCAGTGTTCATCTGCATTGTTTTGTAGAGGATTTTTAGATGTCTCCTATGTCTTGCATAGTGTAGGATACAAGGTAAAGAATCAACTTTCTCCCTAAAGTCAGCTTCCTACCAGTACCTGTTGAATAAGCTCTCCCTTTCCTACTTCTTTATTTATGTTCCTTAATCATATACTTAATACTTAAATAAAGTGGAATCTATTTCAGAGGTGACTGTTGACCATTTATGGCTTATATCACTTAGAGCCTGGAGCATCTGTCCATGTTTTGAGGGAGGCCAGCCTGCATGCAGAAATAAATCTCTACTAGTTAAAGCCAGGCATACTGGCTTGTCAAAGCATCCAGCACTAGAAGAGACCCAGAGCATCTGCAGCCTTAGCATTATCCTGAAAGGACTTTGTGTAAGAAGACCCACATGTAGAGGGACTCTGTGTGTTGGTGATTGGTGCCTTCATTAGCAGTCTACATGAGCAAGTGCTGCCTCCCCTGGCCTTCTTCTCCAACTCATAAGTAATGATTTTTAGTATCCTTAGAAACTTATCCATTCTCATATTCCTTCAAAATTCTGCCTTTGTGAGGGCATTTAATAAAATTTTTACACTGGAACACCTTGAAAGTAAGATGTGTTATGAATGCCTACCAACTTCCCTCAGTGAATGCAAACACATACCGATAAAAATGAAAAACAAGCAAAAAGGAATTACATTTCATCTTGAGTTGCAGTTTTTAATTGTTCTGTCCCTAGGAGGCTGGCTGGAACTGGGAAGCCCTGGAGAGATTTCTCTGTAGAGTTATAAGACCAACGCAATTACGTTTTCTTAAAATATCAGGCCAGTTCACATTTTGGACACCTGGATCCCATGATTTAAATACATGGAGGATGCTCAGGTCCCTTTTATTTCTGTGATTCTATGATACAATATATGTGGAAGTGTGTCAATTTTTTTTTTATGCATTTAGAACGGGATCTACAGGGTCTAACTACATAGATTGGACTTGTACTGATCTTCCTGTTTACAGCCTCCCAAGTACTGGGATTATAGGCACGCCGCCATGCCCAGACTCAATCTCTGTCTCAGTGCACCCAGGGATGGGGCCATGATGGCAGGCTGGGGATTGAACCCCCAGCCTCTGCGTTTGCCTAAGCAGGCACTTTAATCCACTGAACTATTTGGCTGGCCCAGAAGTGTGTCATTTTTTCAAAGGAAAGAAGCAAGCTTGGAAGCCAAATGCAAGAATATTTTTACATATAAAAGAATGGATGGATGGATGGGAATTTTTTATGTTAGTAGTGGTTATAGATAGGAGATAGACTATTACTGGGTGTCACCTCCTATAGTTCTACTTTGCATCCTGCACTGGGCCCTGGAGAGAGACCACCAGGACTGTACCCCTGGGCAAACTTGCTTCCCTGCTTTCTGGTTCCTGGTGAAGCTGGTGCAGAGCTTCAGGGCATTGGAGACAGGGAGGAGGGTGGAGCTGGGCTGTGTATTCTTTCTCTTCCAGAATTGTCCTGGACTGGCTGAATCCCTCAGCTACCAGCCACAGCTCATCTTAGTCCATTCAGGACGCTCTAACAAATTACCAAAGACTGGGTGATGTGTAAAAAAGAGAAATTGATTTCTGGAGGCCAGAAGTCCCAAATCAGGGTGCCAGCATAGTCAGACTATGGTGAGGGCTCTCAGCCAGTTTGTCACCTGTTGCATTGTGTCTTCACATGGCAGAAAGACCACAGAAATATATCCTAGGGTCTGTTTTCCTAAAGGTACTAATCTTATTCAAGAAAATTCCAGCTTCCTAAAATCACTCCTCCTAGTGGCATTAACCCTGGGGGTTACAATTTCAGTGTATGGATTTTGGGAGGGTACCCACATTCAATTCTTAGCAGTTCCTTTCCAGAATGTTTTTTCCCCCCTATGATTCTCTCCATCCAAGTCCTGGTAACTACTGATCTTATCCCATGAGACCAAAGCAGGGTGGTAGCCACATGTTTCTTCTAGTCCAGAAGTGTTTCTCTATCTCTGGGGATTTCCACCATTCCAAACAATATTAGTCACTCTTGTTAAAGACACTAGTGGTCATATCCAGGTTGCCCACTGTCAACACTAGAATCTCGCTGCCCTCCTAAGGTTCTATTGGTTGCTGTCAGTTGCTTTTTGGCTGAGTGTACACTCACATGTTCTTTTTCTCTTAGATCCGAGAGTTGAAGATTTATTCCTCATGTCCTCACCTCTGCCACAAACCATCATCTTGGGACTCTATATTTATTTTGTCAAGTCTCTGGGACCAAAGCTCATGGAGAATCGAAAACCCTTTGAACTCAAGAAAGTGATGATAACATACAATTTTTTCATAGTACTCTTTTCTGTGTATATGTGTTATGAGGCAAGTGTCTTCAGTATTCTTAATGGGAGGATTTTGCCCAAGACTTTCTGCTCATGTCATTATGTTTTTGTAGTTATGCGTATAGAGTTAATTTTTTGAAAATTAATAATTCTGAGCTCAGTGTCCTTTCTAGAATAGGAGCAGGCATTTAACAATAGCATCAGAGTCATGTCTAGATGAAATAGAAACTCCATAGAGAATCTCACCATATTTCACAGGTAGTGAGAAAAATTGACATCTACTCCAGCAACTTGCACATAGTTATCTTGATGAATGACTGAGTGAACCCATAAATGTCAGTTTTGAGGGAATTCCTACCCAGAGCAATCTCACAACTCAAAATCACGTGTCTTGTCTGTGGGGGCTCATACTGGAATGCGGGTCCTCCTGTCCTCAGAGTTCATCCTGGCTCTCCTGAGTCCTCATCATCATGGTGAGAACTTTTGGCTTCTGGGTACTCTGATGAGCTACACCACAGTGAACTGTTTGGAATCTTTTGTGTTGGGCTTTGAGGGGACAGAAAACATAGACTCACACAAACAGTAAGAGAGCCAGCCTGTTCCTTGTAGTATGGGGCCGGGGAGATGGCTCAGTGGAATAAGTGCTTCCCTGGCAAGTGTAAGGGCCTGAGTTCAATCCCCGGTTCCAAAAAAAAAAGGACATGGCAATGTTCCAGGATCCCAAAGCAGGTTCCTGCACTCTCACTTTTGCCCCATTAATGAATGTCTCAGTTGTACTCACACACCTGCCTCTCAGGGATTCTTTGCTGCTTTTCCAATGCTGTCTTGTTTCTTCCTCCTCTTTTTATTTCACTTCCTATCAGAGCTTGCACTTAGTCATACCTCTGGCTCAGGATTCCCCACTGTGGTCCACTGGCTTCTTGGCAACTAGGCCTCACCATGTGTATCCTTCAAGCCCAATTCCAGCTCAAATGCATGCCCTTGTTCTGTTGGTGAAATCTACCTTGGCCTTATTTCCCACAGGTCTTCCCCAAGTCTGGACTCACGCTGCTGCTTTCCCTTGCTTCTACTTTATTTCTGAAATTAACTCACAGGCTACTCTTCTGTCCTTCGTAGAACCTGAGCAGCTGAACAGCAAAGAGCACTAGAGTTGGGAAGAAAAGACAGGCTGGTAGTGTTTTTAGACATAGGATTTCACATGTTAGAAAATGTTAAGCACACACTTGGAAGCAAGGAGAACAGGACTAAAAGCAGGACATGGCCCCAGCTACCTTAGCAGTGCAGTCAGGCCTTTCACTCTGTCTGTTTATTTAATGACTAAGTGAGTCCTCATTCTGTTACTAATTGCTTGACTTTAAGGGAGTCACTTAACTTCTTTTTTTGGCGGTACTGGGGATTGAACTCAGAATCTTGCGCTTGCCAGGCAAGTGCTTATTCTACTAAGCTATCTCCCCAGCCTTTAAGTTTATATTCATTCATTCATTCATTCATTCATTCATTCATTCATTCATTTTTTTGTGGAACAGGGGATTGAACTCAGGCCCTTGCGCTTGCCAGAGAAGCGCTTATTCAGCTGAGCTATCTCCCCGGCCCCTCTTTTAATTTCTATAGAGAAGTTCATTCCTCTTATTATGTAAAGCCAAGTTTGAACCAAATTGTCTTCCCAAAATGCTCTAGTATTCTCAGATTCTGTGTCTAATTGTGTCATTGAATGTG